CAGAAGAAGGGAAAATTTGCTCTCTCTCTCTCTTTTCGAGCTGGGAAATCCACCTTTTCCTGCCCTTGGACATCAGAGCTCCAGGTTCCCAGGCCTTTGCACTTGGCCTGACCAACACCACTGGCTTTCCTGGCTCTGCAGCTTCCAGAGGGCAGATGGTGTGATCTGGGGGGCTCTAAATCTCTCTCTTTCTCGTTCTCTGTGTGTGCACGAATGTGTTTCCTATTGGCTCCATTTCTATGGAGGACTCGGTAACTAATACAGGGGGAGATGACTGGTCTAGGAAGGTAAAAACATAATAAATTTTTTTTATTTTTGGGACAGAGTCTCACTCTGTTGCCCAGGCTAGAGTGCCATGGCATCAGCCTAGCTCACAGCAACCTCCAACTCCTGGGCTCAAGCGATCCTCCTGCCTCAGCCTCGCAAGTGGCTGGGACTACAGGCACGCGCCACCATGCCTGGCTAATTTTTTTCTATATATTTTTAGTTGGCCAATTAATTTCTTTCTATTTTTAGTAGAGACGGGGTCTTGCTCTTGATCAGGCTGGTCTCGAACTCCTGAGCTCAAACAATTCTCCCGCCTGGGCCTCCCAGAGTGCTAGGATTACAGGCGTGAGCCACAGCACCTGGCCCATAATAAAAATTTTAAGTGCCACCCACTTCTCCCTGATGCTAAGTTTTCATATCGTCATCCGAATCTTCCCGACTGATCAGGACAGAGTAGTGGAGCCTGGTGGCAGGGTTGGGGGAGGGGTGGCGGTCTGGACTCTGTTCGACTGTTCCCAAAACCCTTGGGGGAGAGGAGGGCCAGGGCGGGCGCTTCCTGCCAGGGTCTGTGGTCAGAGTGAGGACACAGCTCACAGGGGAGGAAGTTTCTCAACCCCGAGCTCAGGCCTCAGGGACGGGGACTGTGATGGCGTCAGAGTGGAGCCCTGGGCTGCAGCCCACAGCTGTGGGGGTGGTGGGATGGGCAGCAGGTGACTTTGCTTCTTTGGGCCTCAGCCTACCCCTCTTTCAAATGGGACGTCTGGGCTGGTGGCTGTGTGACTACCCTTCCAGCTGATAAGGGTTTTAAGCCGCTTCAAGTGTGGAGCCAGACAGGGCTGGGTTTGAAGGTCGTCTCCATCATTTTCCAGCCCTGCCGTGTAGGTCAGACTCTCGGGGCCTCCCTGTGAGCCTCAGTTTCCCTGTTCGTGTGTTGGGAATGACGATTCCCATTTTCTGGCCAGTTGGCGGTGAGCTGCGCATGCCGGTGGCAGGGACGGTAATGGCGTGTGGCACTGGCTGTGCTCTCCATGTTATAGCAGGGTGCATGGAAACCTTAGGTGCGACCTCTCACGGGGCAGCCTCTGGTCCCATTCAGCGCCAGCTAAAGACAGCATCCCCTGCAAAAGCAAATCCATCTTCACAACATGTTAGTGAGTCGTGTAGATTGTACTGATGATGGGTTTGATTGGGGTAGAAGAGAGTTTTCAACATGCACCATATAGTAAAATGATTTCAGTTCCCATTAGTCACCTCCATAAACCCACCAAATGTTTCTCCAGGTAACTAACACCTTCTATTTCTTTTTTTTCTACCTTTCGCCACATGGCTTTTTTATTCTGAATAAATGCCTTTTTTATTCTGAATGATTTAGCTCTACCTACAAACATGCACACATCCCATTGTAAAATTTCTCCAGTTAGCAGGCCTCGTACTCAAGGGACTTTTTCAAATATTTTCTCAAAAGAAACAAGTCTATTCTAGGATGGCAAAGGGGAATTCTGCTGGTAGAAAAATAATCATTTTTCTGTGCCTTTACAGCATTAACCTAGAGAAGTGTTTCTCAGCAGAATCACCCAGGAAGCTTTATAAAAATATGTATTTAAGCTGGGCGCAAGGGCATACAGCCGTATTCCCAGCAACTTGGGAAGCTGAGGAGGGAGGGTCGTTTGACCTCAGGAGTTCAGGCCCAGCCTGTACAACATAGAGAGACAGGTGTTTGTTTGTTTGTTTGTTTGTTTGTTTGTTTGTTTGTTTGTTTGTGACAGAGTCTCACTCTGTTGCCCCGGCTACAGTGCCATGGCGTCAGCCTAGCTCACAGCAACCTCAAACTCCTGGGCTCAAGCAATCCTCCCGCCTCAGCCTCCCGAGTAGCTGGGACTACAGGCATGCGCCACCATGCCCGGATCATTTTTTCTATATATATTAGTTGGCCAATTCATTTCTTTCTATTTTTAGTAGAGACGGGGTCTCGCTCTTGCTCAGGCTGGTTTCAACTCCTGACCTCGAGCAATCCTCCTGCCTCAGCCTCCCAGAGTGCTAGGGTTGCAGGCGTGAGCCACTGCGCCCGGCCTCAACACACTTTTGAAGGGTGATAAATGCCTGTTCTCAGGCCTCCTTTGCCTATTAGGACTCTGTTGCAGCCCTGCTTTTTCTGTGTGTTGCTAGAAATGAAACTCAGCACCTCTTTGAATATCTCGAGGGAAATCCACTCACACACAAATACCCTGAGGACGGCAGGCTCTGGTGAAGATTAAACTAGGGACACATTTGCGTCACAAAATGACAGAGTCTGCAGAATGCGCGTCACTGTTGGCCATGTTTGAGAGACTCCACAGCCAGGACTCTGATGGTCGCCGTGACTTGTTCCAACCTCTCTTCTCATTCTCTTTTCTCCCTATTGTGTCAGCATCTGGTGCTTATGTCGTCTGGGCACCCCGCACTCCACTCTTCTGCTCACGGAAGCATCTTCCGTTACGCTTGCAACGAGTGAATCCAGCTGGTGGCGCTAGACTTTGGATGACCAATCAGAGGCAGAGAAAAAGGCACGTGACCGAATCTGGCCAATTAGAGCTATGAGGAAGTGAGCTCTCCTTCCGGGACCGCTTGGCTTGCCGAGTTTAAGCCTGAGAGATGTTGGTGGCCCCGAGTTCCCTAACGAGGGAAGCGTCGCCATGAAATAGAACGATGTAGAAGGAAACTGAGCAAAGAGATTCTGGATGAGGCCTGGCGCGGCACGCCTGTAATCCTGGCACTTTGGGACGCCGAAGCGGGAGGATTGCTTGAAGCTCAGGAGTTGGAGACCAGCCTGAGCAAGAGCGAGACCCCATCTCTACTATAAATAGAAAGACATTAGCCAAACAACTAAAAATAGAAAAAGTTAGCCGGGCATGGTGGCGCATGCCTGTAGTCCCAGCTACTCGGGAGGCTGAGGCAGGAGGATTGCTTGAGCCAGGAGATTGAGGTGCTGTGGAGCTAGGCTGACGCACGGCCATCACCTAGCCTGAGCAGCGAGACACTGTCTCAAAAAAAAAAAAAAAAAAAAGGATTCTGGATCTCCCAGGTTGTTTACCTAGGTCAGCTGTGTCTGTACCAAAGACAACCTCTGGACTTTTCTTTCTCTCATTCAATTTTTTTTGGGGGGAGGGGGAGAATGGGGTATCCCTAAGTCGCCCAGGTTGGAGTGCAGTAGCTACTTACAGGCACGATCATCGCACACTACAGCCTTGAACTCGTGGCCTCAAGAAATCCTCCCGCCTCAAATTCCAGAGTAACTGAAACTCACTGCTCTCAGATACATAACTACTTTTTAAAATTGGGACATCACTCACATACCATAAATTCACCCTTTTAAAGTGTACAATTCAATGGGGTTTTTTGTATATTTGCAAAATTCTGCCATCACTATTATTGAATTCCAGAACATTTTTTATTAATATTTCTCCAAATCTTTGAATAGTGTTCATTTTAAAAAGAAAAAAAAATATTTCTCCGAATCCAAAAAGGCATCATATACTTATTAGCAGTCACTCACCATTCCCTTCTCTCCCCAGGCCCTGGCAAACACTAAATCTACTTTCTGTCTTTCTGGATTTTCCTTTTCTGGGTATTTCATATTAATGGAATCTTATAATTTGTAGCCTTTGTGTCTGGCTTCTTTTATGTAGTATGCTGTTTTTAATGTTCATCCATGTTGTAGCTAGCATGTATCAGAACTTCATCTCTCTTTTTTTTTTTTTTTTGGTCAGTTGGTTGTGGGAGGGGTGTCGAGGTTTTGTCAGTGCAATACCGGTACTGCAACTCTAACTTGGCTAGGCTGATAATTGCCTTGCTCGTAGTGGACTACAGGCATGTGCCACCATGCCCAGCTAATTTTTTCTATATATTTTTAGTTGTCCAATTAATTTCTTTCTATTTTTATAGTAGAGACAGGGGGTCTCACTCTTGCTCAGGCTGGTTTCGAACTCCTGGCCTGGAGTGAGTGATCCGCCTGCCTTGGCCTCCCAGAGTGCTAGGATTACAGGCATGAGCCACCGTGCCTGGCCTAGAATTTCATTTCTTGTTATGGCTGAATAAAATTCTGTTGTATGGATAGATTGCATTTAGTTTAGTTTATTTCTTTCTTTTTTTTTTTTTGGTAAATTGTCTCCTCCGTGATCACATTTTGTTAATCATTCGACAGTTGATGGACGTCTGGGTTGTCTTCATTTATCAGCTATCATAAGTAATGCTGCTATGAACATTTACATACAAGTTTTTAGGTGGACATATATTTTTAATTCTTTTGTACATATAACTAGGATTGGAATTGTTGGATCACATGCTAATTCTATGCTTAACTGTTCAAGGAACTACCAAACTGTGTTCCAGGGGGCTTCACCTTTTTATAAAAATCTGTAGAGTATTTATTTAGATTGAATTGCATTTTGTTTTTTCAACAATAACAATAATTGTTTGTTGTTAACAAAAATTAAAACAATAATTGTTTTTTCAACAATTTTTTCCAACACCATGGGGTCTGTTAAAAAAAAAAAAGAATTTTAACTGACATATTGTCTCTTGCAGGAGGAAAACACATTATTTTTTACTCTTATCATGAAGAACAACTTTTTCCACTTCTTGAACCTTCCTCTGCCAATCTATTCAGCAAGATTGTCTTCCAAACACACACAGACAGCCCTCTTCAAACAAGTCCTGGTGCTGGTCATTGCAACAATAAAAACTCCTCAAACTCCTTATGTTTCTTTCTATTTATTAAAACAGTGAAATGTTTTACAATACAGATATGGCATTTTAGTAATCAGAAAATCATATTTTCCTGGTGGAAAAAAAAATCTCAGGAAACATATTCAGTTTCCCCTGAATTGGCCCTCATGAAAAATTTTTGCTTCTTGTCTTTAGACCCTGAGGTCCTTGAAGGCAGAGGCTGGGATGGATTTATTCTTGTGGCTCCAGACATTTGCCAATTTTCTTCTTTCCCTGTGAGAAAGAAGGGCTTTCTTGAAAGAGGATGTGTTACCATAGGTAGATGCTGATTCAACTTCCTTCCACCCTCTCTTTTGAATTCCTAGAAATTTGTTTTTCCACCCCCTGTGTCAGCGTCGTGGAAGGAGCTCGGGCAGTGAGTCATTTGAGAAAGCACAAATCAAATCTATAGAGAATCCAGGTGGGCAACATCTTGTTCCTCTCTCCCTGCCGTATGACTCCTGCTGCTCAACCTCACTTCCCTCAAACACATCCACCGCCCACACTCAGGCTTCCCCCTCCATCCCCTGATCCTATCCATCCTCAGCCTTCTTGTTCTCCCAGCTCCAGGCATCCTCCTGTGTCTGTCTTCCGCAGTGGCCTTGGAGAATCTTCCTCAACCCGGGTCCAACCCCGCCTCTCCCCTGCTCCAAACAGTTCCCTGCCATACAATGGAATAGTATTCAGCCCTAAAAAGGAACACGGCACTGACACATGCTATAGCGTGGATGAAACTTAGGCAAAGAGAAGGAAGCCAGATACAGCAGACCACATACTGTATCATTCCATTTCTATAAAATATCCAGAATAAGTAAATCTGTAAAGACAGAAAGCAGGTTGGTGGCTGCCAGGGGCTGGGAGAGGGGAGAATGGGGTGTGACTGCTCAGTAGGAATGGGGTTTCCCTTGGGGGTGACCAAAAAGTGCTAGAGTGGTGATTGAGGTTGCTGTGAGCTATAGCCTGGGCAACAAAAGCTAGACCTATGTGCTCAAGAAAATAAATAAATCAATAAAGATAAAAAAAAAGAATTGAGACCCTAATCTCTACAAAAATAGAGAAGAAGTAATTGCCAACAAAAAATAGAGATAATGAGCCGAGGGTATGTGGCGCATGCCTGTAAGGTCCCAGCTGACTCCTGAGCTGAGGCAGGAATGATCGCTTGAGACCAGATAGTTTGGTGCTGTGAGCTAGGCTGACGCCACACGACACTCATTAGCCTGGCAACACAGTGAGACTTTGTCTCAAAAAAAACAAACAACTAAAAACACTCATGATTGCCCATTGTCCTCTTGACACAAGCCTCATATGAGATGTTTCTGACGCCCCCTCCCCTTTTTTTTTTTTTTGGAGACCAGTCTCTGTTGTCCTTTGCCCCAAGGCCTGGAGTGGGCGTGGATTTTTGTTTGTTTCTTTGAGGCAGCGCGGGGAGATCGCTGGGGCAGCCCTAGTGAGTTAGTTGCCTGGTGAACATAGGCTGGAACCCCA